TTCGTTCTGGAGCTGGACTGGTCTCCCTGCTGTCCAATCACAAAAGCTAGCCCGAGCCTGTTCAAACCCTGGTCTTACACCCCTTTAAGATTTCCTGCAGATAAAACACAAAAGCCTTCCTTGGTCTGCCAGAGCGCCCTTCTCGTGGGCCCAGCGTGGTTGCCCCGAGCTGGAGCCTGCACTTGGGGGGCTGTGGAGGGCTCTCTGCTCCTTGTAACGAGCTCTGACTTGGGGATGGAAAGCGACAGGAAGCCCTGAGGTAGCACCTGGCGGTGTGTGGCTGTGAAATCGGTGGAACATGAGCAGAGGGGACTGAGGTGGAATTGGCTGCAGGTCCAGGGGCCCCAGGTAGGTGCAGGGACCACCTGTAGTGTCCCTGGCTGCCCACAGTGGGATATGGGCCCTGCCCACAGGCAGAGTCAACACTGACCAGATCCTGGCTGGCTGCTCAGAGCCCTGCCTCTGCCCCGCCCCCCCCCAGTCTCGTGGTGCAGATGCCACCCAGCAGTGGGCGCAGTGCCCCCAGGACTGGTCCCACCCAGCCTCCCAGGGACTGTGGGCCTTGGGCTCACTGCCTGTGGTCCTGGCTGCCCTTGCTCACCAAGTGTCCCAGTCCTTGCTCCTGGCCCTTTCAGTTCCCCAGCGGGCACTGACGGGGTACCTACAGCTCGGCCCTGCCCACATGCCCTTCCAGTCGAGTAGTGTGGCCAGAAACATCAGTGCAGTGAAGGGCCGGGGGACGGCTCTGGAGAGCCTCGGCTTCCTCAAGGCAGTCGGAGAGGGCCCCCAGAGAGGGACAGGGGAGCCATGGACAGGCTGGGCAGCTGGGTGCTGAATCCCATGGGTGTGCTTGCAGATCGGATCAACATCAAGAGGAAGGGGGCATGGCCCTCCACCCTCCTGTCTGTGCAGCACGTCATCGACTGCGGGATGGCTGGCTCCTGCGAGGGGGGCAATGACCTGGAGGTGTGGTCCTACGCCCAGAGGCACGGCATTCCGGATGAGACCTGCAACAACTACCAGGCCAAGGACCAGAGTAGGGCTCACCCACCCACCCTGCCGTCTTCTTCCCAGGACAGTCCAGGCTTCTCTCCCTGGTGGGGGCACTAGGGGAGGCTCAAACCTGTGGGTTTGGGGGAGCAGGGAGCTGGAGCCCAGAGTCCTTGCTAAGGGCCCCAGAAAAGCCCTGGGCAGGGATCTCTCCAGCCGTTGTCCCTGTGGCGGGCTGGCCGTGGTTGTGGTTCTGACGTGGTGGCTGCGTGGGCCTTTGTAAGAGAAGCACAGGTGGCCATTATCCCGGGAGGAGTGTTTCCCGGGAGCGTGCCGAGCGCAGGCAGGCTGCTGCCGAGGAAGCAGGCGGCCCGGCTGGAGGAACGTGGCTCTGGCCTGGTTCCCACCGCACGACCCTGGGCCGTGTGCATTCAGGTGGACCTGGAGTCCCGAGGCCCTGCATGGACCAGCTGACCGAAGGCGGGCCTGGAAACCCTGGAGTTGGCACATTCCTTTGAGGCTGCTCCCCTTTGAAATGAAAAGAAAAAGTCCCTAATTGGCAGTTTTAAGTCACCTACCTTTGTCAGCTGGAGCAGAGAGCTGGGACCAATTCAAGGGCTGTTTCAGACAGGAGGGGGTTAGGGAGAGGCCAGGTGTTTTCCCACCCCACCCTCTCCTACAAAAGGGATTGCCTCGCCCCTGTGCCTGTGAGGCACACAGCAGATTCCGGCCCCCTCCCACCCCACGACCCTCGGCTTGCCTCCAGGGCCATGTTGCCCAGCCACAAGGAATTCCCCCAGACTGGTTGGGCAAGTCTTGAAGTGGTAAACCCTGCAGGGATCTGAGAACCGAGAGGGACAGATGAAGGGAGGAGAATGACAGCTGGGAACCAGGAAATCAGGTGGGCCCTGGGCCTCTGACCCTGCCCTGCTCAGCCCTGAACTGGTCTCGTCAGGGCTGGCCTTTGTAACCCTGGATGAAGGGCAGATGCAGCTCATCTGGAGCCTGGCTGTTTGCAATAAATAGCCTGGTCTTTGTATTTATCGAATGGTGGCCACTTGCTGGTTGTGCTGGGCATTTGGTGACCAAAGGACACATCAAGCCATTTTAACCTCAAGGAGTCGAATGTCGTAGGGGAGGAACCTGGGCTGATAAGAAACTAGAACAGCAACATAGGTAACAGGAAAGCTGTGAAAAGGCAGGAAAGGCAGGTCGGGTCTGAGGAACAGAGGCAGTGGGTGGTGTGGAGAACTAAAGGCTGCAGTTTTTAATCCTACCAGACCTGAGGCCCTGACCTAACTGTCCCCTATACCTGGGCTCCTGAGCATTAAAGAGAAAAAACCAACATGATATAGAAAAATGTTAGTTACATGCAAACACGTGGTTAGAATAAGATGGAACTTGGAGACATTGTAGAAAATAGGTCTACCTTTCATCTGGCACCAATATTCCACCTCTGTGTGGAAATTACCGAAAATCGGTCTGGTGGGGTTAAAGCCTAATTCTTGATACCACCTCAAACCAAAATCATCAAAAATGCTCTTTTTGCCAAACAATCAGCCTATTAGTCATTAGTCACATCTTAAGAGCTAACTCATCTTCCGAGCTAACCATCCAGCCACACTCTATTTTCAGCTATGGAGTTTGTGGAAGGGCCCTACTCCAGGCCATTAAAAGAAAAGGAAAAAGTCTGTCTCTTGAGTGCCTACTACGCGCTAATTATGTCCTGTGCTTCCCACCAAGGCCTGGGGCTGGGCTTTTCAGGACTCCCTTGCAGCCAGTGGTGATGACTGCCAGTGTCAGCCAGGGAGCCGCGTGCAGGGTGGGCCTGGGGTGCTCACGGGCGGGTGACTGAGGGCGGTCCCTCACTGACTGTGTGTGCCCCCAGAGTGTGACAAGTTCAACCAGTGTGGCACATGCACGGAGTTCAAGGTGTGTCAGCCCATCCAGAACTACACGCTCTGGAAAGTGGGTGACTACGGCTCCGTGGCCGGCAGGGAGAAGATGATGGCAGAGATCTACGCCAACGGTCCCATCAGGTGAGCGGCCCTGGCTGGGAGGTGCTGCTGCTGGCATGTCACCCCGTTCCTTCCGCGGGCTTTACGCGCAAGGCTCGAGACGGCTGGCCGCCAAGGGAGTTTTCTCAGGAGTGGAGCCAAGCCGGCCGTGGGCCCCTCGTGTGGTTGCGAGTGAAGGGCAGCGAGTGCTGTGGGCCGGGCTGACAGCAGGCAGACTCACTTGCCGCACTATCTCAGTCAGATTTACTCTGATTCACAAAGTGCTAACTCCCTCCCTGCTTGTTCCCAGCTGCGGGATAATGGCAACAGAAAAGATGGTGAATTACAGCGGAGGCATCTACGAGGAGTACCAGGAGCAGAGCTACATTAACCACGTCATTTCCGTGGCAGGCTGGGGCATCAGCGATGGGACCGAGTACTGGATTGTCCGGAATTCGTGGGGTGAACATGGGAAGGA